TTTGTTTTCATTATTGTTTCTTTTAAAACATTGTAATTTTTAACTTTATATATTATATACAGGCTTGTTTATAACATAGTGATTACAAATTTCAACCATGATCATTTAATAACTCATCAATCTTAGTTTTGATCTCTTCTTAAACTTAAGATTTCACATATTCTTGAATGGAGTTTCATGAAGGATTATCTATATGAGTTACTTAACCATACTATTACATATGCAATTTAAGCTCAAAATGAAGTTATCTGTCAAAATAATGAAATTAAATATAAAAAACATTATCTTTATTTCTAAAGAAAAAAAGTATATATATAAAAAATATTTTAATAATTATAAAAATATGTTGCATTATCATCAATACTAATTTTTTATTATTTTTTTATCAAAATAGGATAATTAGCAAATAATTACTATTCATTCTCAATATTGTCATAAATTACTTAAATTTTATATCTGTTTTCTACATAATAAAAAAATTATCAAATCAACAAATCGTTATAAAGACAAAAATCCTCTTTTTTTTCCATTGCATCATGAACATCGTCAAAAAATCATAAATAGCCAAATTTGGAAGAAAAGGTTTTAATGGATTCAAAGTTAATATTTAATAAAAAATTAAATTATTGGACATTTGTTTGAGTTTATGATATGTTTAACTTTTTTCTATAGGTTTTTAAATATAACTACTATTAATTTATCTTTTATATTATAACAGGTAAAAATGTTAAAAATTGTGATGATATTCAAATCACTGAAAATCTCAATATTGTTGCTATTGATCCTGGTATTCATACTAGTTGGTCTTGGTATTCTCCATCCAAAGAATATGGTTGGTTTGGTAACTTAGATATTAATCATATATTCTGTTTGTCTTTATCTTTGGATGATCTTATTTCTCAGTATATTATTTTTTATATATATATTTTTATTCTTTCATAAAATTCTTAATTATTATTATATTTGTAGAACTACTTATGCTTCTCTTAAAAAGAGAAATTCAATGAAAAGATCTCAAATCCATTTACAGCTTCGCATTCAAAACCTTATTAATGAATATCATAAAAAAGTTGCCTTGTGGTTTCTTTTAAACTTTGATGTCATTATTATATCACCTTTTAATAGATCTGCTATGTTTCATCGTCTTAATAGAAAAATTGATTCAAAAACAGTTTGTAAAATGCTTACTTGGGCTTACAGTTGATTTCGTAATTGTCTTTTTTATAAGGCTAAAGAATTAGGTAAAAAGATCATTATTCAAAATGAAGCATATATAAGTAAAACTTGCAGGTTGTTTATTTTCTTTTTCACATTTATTTTAATTTTTTCATCAATTTTAATATCTATTTGCTTTATGCAGTTGTTATGAATTTATTAAATATAACCTGGGTGGAAACAAATTGTTTAAATGTAATAAATATGAAATAGTGATAGATAGGGATATTAATAATGCTTGGAGAATTTTTCTCTGAGCTTTGCTTAATAGGGCTGTTTATATATAGTGAATTCATTATATGCATACACTAATTGATTGTTAATGATTGATTCAATCCATCTGGAAGTGAATTAAATATTATCAATAAAATTTAAAAGACGCTTATATGATATACTTTTTCTTACAATTTCTTTTTTTTCTTACAATCTTTTCTCTTCTTTACAATAAAAATTTCTTATTTAATAATGGATATTCTAGAATTTTTCCTTCATTTTCAGTTGAATTTTATAATGATTCTTATGAAGATCCTATAAACAATTTTTTATATGAAAATTTGAATACAAATAATAAAATATCTGATGTTAATTATGATTTTACAAATAAAGAAAATAATACTAACTTAATACTTTAAAAGAGACAAATATTTAAAATCTTTAAAGAAGTAAAAAAACATTTGATGCAATATTGTAAGTAAAAAGATCTTAAATATCATAAGAGAAGTGTTGAATATGATAGTAATAATATTATATGTAAACATACTTATAAATGTATCAAAGAAGCTTATATTAATTGTGAAAAAATAATGATCCTGAAAAATATTAATCAAAGAAATTCTGATGTCAGTAATATATAAATATAATTTACCCAAAAATAATAAAAACTATTAAAATTTTACTATATTAATGAATATAATTATTTATTAAATCCAAATATTAAGATTTATAGAATTTAATTTCATTAGTTTTTAGGAGAAAAAAGGTTAATATATTAGAATATTTTATTGCTATTCTAATTATAAAAATATAAATTATATATAGATTATTAACACTGGTTGAAATCAAAAAAATCAGACATGTGAAAATCAACCTAAAATCAGCCTAAAATCAGCCTAAATTTGGCAAATTATCAAGAATTAGCCTAGCTGATTGGCATACATCAGAAATTGGCTAAAAATCAGCTAAAAATCAACCTATCTTATTTATAGCCGATTAGCATACTTATCACTAATTGGTATATATCAAAATTTGACCTATCTAATTTATAGCCAATTGACTTTTGATTGGAATAATAGGGTATTATCATTTCTTAGGAATAATGGTATTATCGTATCTAAGATACAATGGTTTTATCGTTTCTAAGGAATGATGCATAAAGAACGATAATTTTATCATTTTTTAGGGATAATTGTTTTATCGTTCCTTAAGGATAATAGTATTATCGTACCTAAGGAATAATAGTTTTATCGTACTCAAAGAATGATAATTTTATCGTTTCTTAGAGATGATTATTTTATTGTTCCTAAGAAATGATGCATTTATCATATCTTAAGTATGACGATTTATCATTTCTAAGATACAATAGTATTATCATTCCTTAGAAACGATAATTTTATTATTCCTTAGAGATGATGATTTTATCGTTTCTTAGGAATAATTGTTTTATCGTACCTTAAGTACGATGATTTATCATTCCTTAGGGTCGATGGTATTATTATATCTAAGGAATAATAGTTTATCATACCTAAAGAATGATGATTTTATCATTCTTTAGAGACGATTATTTTATCGTTCCTTAGGGATGATGATATTATTCTACCTAAGGAATGATGGTTTTATTGTACCTAAAGAACAATGATTTTATTATTTTTTAGGGATGATTGTTTTTTGTTTCTAAGAAACAATGCATTTATTATACCTTAAGTATAATGATTTATCATTTCTAAAGTACGATAGTATTATTATTCCTTAGAAATAATAGTTTTATCATTCCTTAGAGACGATAGGGTATTATCATTCCTTAGAGACAATTATTTTATCGTTTCTTAGGGATGATAGTATTATCATTCCTTAGGGTCGATGGTATTATCATACCTAAAGAACAATGGTTTTATCATATTCAAAGAATGATGATTTTATCGTTCTTTAGGGATGATAGTTTTATTGTTCCTTAGGGTCGATAGTATTATTGTACCTAAGGAACAATAGTTTTATCATTCTTTAGATAAGATGCATTTATTGTTCTAATGAACCAAACTTTTGCATTAAACTGATTTGCTAAAATAATGTTGATTTAATGTACTATTTGAGTTTATTTCTGGTATATAGGAATATTTATATAAATAAGCTTAATTTTTTAACTTTTTAAAAAATAATTTTAATCATTTCCAAAGTTTCTCTTTTTACATTTCACCAAAATCCCAAAAAAAAAATAATCCCAAAAACAAAAAGATCTAAGTTAAATTTTAGTCAATTTTTCTGATTTGATTTTGCTTTTTATAATAGAAACATGCCTTTAACCATCAAATTGGACGAAAATTAAGTTGAATTTTAGTCAATTTTTCTGATTTTTTTACATTTTATAATAGAAATATGCCTTCAAACATCAAAATCAAACGAAATTTAAGTTGAATTTTTGTGATTTTTGTGATTTTTTATTCTTTTTATTTGAAAATAGCAATATTACTATAATGAATATTTAGGACGATTTAAGGGGATTTTAGGAGGAAAATGTATTATATTTTTATTATTTTACATGATTTTTCCATTTTTTACTTATATTTTTTAGATAAAAAATCAATCAGTGGGTTTTGGTAATATTTATATTATATTTTGCGAAATATATTAGGTTTTATTATTAATAAAATTATAATATTTAATAAATTTAATAAATATAATATATCATTTTATATACTTATTTGATTAAATTGATGCCAATTTTAGGCTGATTTATGGTTATTTAAATTCTGAATTGATGCCAAATTATGCTGAATTAAGATCAATTTTAAGGTTATTTATGGTTATTTAAGTTCTGAATTGATGTCAAATAATGCTGTATTGAGGTCAATTTTAAGCTGATTTATGTTATTTATGTTTTGAATTAATGCTGAATGATGCTGAATTGAGGTCAATTTTAGGCTAAATAGCCATATCAATCAGTGTCAATCAGTGTCTGAATTGTTACTGAATTAAGGCCAGTTTTAGGCTGATTTATGGTTGAATTTAAGTTCTAAATGGCCATGTCTGATTGGGGTTGATCAATGTTTATCAGCACCTGTTTATGCTGATCAGAAAATATAGAAAATTGGTCATAAATAGTATTAAAATCAGCCTAAAATCAGCCATTCAATTTTTAGCTGATTTGGACTATTTCAACTAGTGTATAAATATATAAATATAGCAAGTTTATTTATATTTTTAAAAAAAAATTTTTTTTATAATAATTAAAAATTACATTAAAATTTTTTAGAATTCATTACTTTAAAGCTATTTATAATATTTTTATCACATAGTTGAAGATATGCAATCATATTAGATGATAAAAATTTAATTTTTATATTAGTTAATTTTATACCTTTATATAAAGTATGAACAGAAGCATTATCTACTAAGAAAAGAATATTTTGTCTTTCTAATCTTATTGTTATATCAAGCTGATGAATCTAATTATTCCAGATGGAGATTTGCATCCAACCTTTTATATTCCAATAATATTTTACTAATAAAGATGACTTAAGTAAATTTTTTAGAGAATGAGAATTCTTGTATTTATAAATGAATACTGGTTTAAGCTTTTCTGTATCAGTTGCATTAAAATAAAGAAGAACTGTCACATAATCTTTTGATTATTTTTGTTCAAATATAAGTATATTGAAAATTGTCTTTTTAGATTCCATTTTTTAATATAAACCAGTTTTATTACAGTTAAAAACATTATCAAGATTATATCTACGAATTAAATCTTAAAGTTTTATTATAAATTTATCAAGTTTTTCAAGTAATGTATTTGCAGCCTCTCCTTATTTAAATAATAAGAAAGATTATTTTAAACCCATTAATCTAACTATTACTTCCTTTAAAATCTTCAATTTATAAAGAGATATGAACATCATAGCCTTTTCATGTAAAACTTAATTACTAATATCAATATCACTTTTCAAAGCTTTTAATACCTATAATATAAGTGCTTCTTTAATTTCTGAAAAAATTACTTTAATTTGTCTTTTACCTTTAGCTTTAGGTACTTGAGAATCAATTTCAAGTTATTTTTATAATTTTTTTAATGTATTACTAATATATCCTTTATTAACATTAAATAACTTTGCTAATTCTTTATTTTTTATAGAAGATTCAGTAATTTTTCTAAGACATATTTCATGCTTTTGAACAAAAGTTAAGGAGCTCTTTTTTGACAAAGTTTTTTCTTGAAAACATTTTATTTTAAGTTTTAGGCATAATATCATTTAGTATGTAAAAAAAATAATTAACTGGATCAGTCTAATCAGGAGGAATTACTTTTGTTACAATCAAAATAAAATATGATAATTTTCCTTTTTGATTTTAATCATAAAAGATTCTAGTTTTTAAAGGCAAATTCAAATTGCAATTTTTATTTAATAATTTCATATGATTAAAATTCATTAATTAATTGTATAATATTTTAAAATTTAATATAGTAGAATCTTCATTATATCAAGTATCATTTTACTAATAACTATTCTAACATTTAAATTCATATTATGAGTTACAAAAAATTTATTATAAAAATTCGTTATACTAAATATTATTATTTTTA